TTCTGGGTTATGTACGTCATGAAAATAATGTTCGATATCCACCTCTGAACATTTTGTTTGCTACAAAAGATGCTGCAAACCGGCCTTTGCGCGAACCATTGCAACATTAATTATTTTTATTTATTTAATTTATCTTCAGTAGATTTAATTTTTGCATATTCAGGGTTTTTGAATATTCATTGGTAATATGAATGAAACAGAAGCAGATGCTTTTACTTGAGTTTTTTTGAGATAAAAATATTCAGCTTTAATGCAACAAAAATAGACGGAAGTAGAATAAAAGCATTTGCTACACTTCATTCATATGACTAACTATGCCTAAGAGTTCTATTAGGTTATTGATACATCTTTTTCGTAAAAAAAAGATAATTGAAAATCGCGAATTTGTCTGGGGAAGAAGGGCGGGGGCGCCATTTTCGGTCTTTTTCCAAGCTTTCTTTAAACCCATTTACTGGGTCTCCTATTGGTCGGGGCACAATGGGCCCATGGTAACTTTTGTTTCTTTTCCCTAGCTCTACAACATATTAAAATTTAAAAAAAATCGACTGGCCTTTATTTTCCATATAATCCGTGCCATGTCCTTTCTGACATTTTGGACGACTTTGACGTTTTGCTTTTCGACGATGACGTAATGTTACTTAGAAAATTTATTTTTCCTACGAGCGTGCGCAAAGAAGTACTTTTCCGCACGCATTCCAGGGCTCAAAGTTACACTTTTCCGCACAAAGCTTATCCGAACTCCGCTTTGCGTCGTTCGTCTAACTGCTTTTCGTGCGGGAAAGTATCACTTTGCGCACTTGTTAGGAAAATAACTAGTTCCTAACACGTGCGCAAAGTAGTTTTCCCGCACTTAAAGCTTATCCGAACTCCGCTTCGCGTCGTTCGTCTAACTGCTTTCGCGTGCGGGAAAACATAACTTTGCGCACTGATTAGGAAAACTACTATTTTACAATAGTTTTCCATTTTACTGTGGGTAACATCAAAAAATTAGTATCAGCAGAAAATCACAAACAAAAATAAACACTTTTTGAGGCTTAAATTTATAAACATAGCTATCATCTGTCAAAATTATGAATACAAAATAAGGTAATACTCTAGCACCTACTACAGTCTTCCAACTGTTTTTTTCTTGGAAAAATAGTGCTGATGAACTAATAAAATAACGTAGATCCTTAATACTGCGAGGCAGTATTTAATAGTTTCAATAACTCTCTATTATCTGCCGGTTAAAACACTATGATCCGGTTTCTCAATAACGAATTACTTGCGGGCTAGTTTTAACTTCAGGCTGATAGCGTGCCCAGTTCCAATGTTTACCCTGGAGTTATCTTTAACGCGAGGGTGATTTATTGTTATTGAGAAACCGGCCCTATAGGTCAACAAAAATGAAATTCCTAAACGATGAAATCACCTTCTCTACATTTAAAATCAACGAACAAATTAACTCACAAGCACAGCCTGAATTGCAAGCGCATCGAGGTCTGCGGATGACTTCATCTGCTGCTGATCGTGGTGACGTCGCCCGCAGACCGGCTGCTGACTCGAGAACTGGCGAACGTACGCCTTATTAGGATGAGCAATCCTATTTTTGGTGGCACTCTTTTATTTTTTCCAAAATCTATGAAAAAAGTATTGAGGTGAAAAAGGTAATGAAGTTGTGAAAGAAAATATTACAATCCCTTGATTTGATTTATTTTATCAGGAGTATAAGTAATACTTATGTAACGCACATGGAAGTTTGAACGCCGAGCGCAGCGAGGCGAATCAAATCACATGAAGAATACTTATACTCCGAATGAAATACAATATTTTATTTTCAAACAATCGTTATTTGGAATAGTGCAGAATTTTTAATTTAAATAATGACATTCATATTTAGAAGGATCACCTTTATAAACACCTATACCTGTATGTACAGGTAAACTACCTTAAATCGCTATGGAAAAACGTGTAACGGCGTTAAGTGTTATACTCCGGCGGAGTATAACACTTAAGCCGCTTTCCAGCTGTGTGCTTCAAGCACGGTGCAGCACAGTGTTCTGTGTTTGAAACGCAAAAGTTAGCAGGCTCTCGAAACGCAGTACGGCTGGAACACGAACACGCGCTTGAAGCATTTGCGCGGGCAAAAGCTCCATTGCGTGCTCAAAAGCGTCAGCTGGAAAGCGTCTTTATACGCCGCTCAAGCTGAAAGTCATTGAAGTGACACTTATATACCTTGTCAAAATGATCACAAAAATTACTGTTAAATGACGTTTGAAAATAAAATAATGTAAAGTCCGCAGCATGAAAAATAAAGGATTGGAAGTATGCGACTGCCCTGTACGTGAACCAACACAACTCGTCCCCATTATTTGTTGTATTTGTCTAGTCAACAGGTTATCCGATATTTCTCAATCGTTTTAGTGAGTTCGTTATGTTCCTAAAATCTGTCGCTACAAGTTTTTATTGCATTTTCTTCCTTTCGGGCTTCAGGCGTCGTCCTTCATCTTCCGGGCTGTGGACTTTATATCGCGGCCATATTGGTGTATCACCATTGGCGACGTCATTAACTTAGCCGTCAGCTGTTTGCTCCAGCGGTCCTAGTTTAGAATTTGAATTAATGATGGAGAATATCATTTATTCACTGGCGTAGCCAGGATTTTGCCTTGTGGGGGGGGGGAATTTGCAGGAAATGTTTCTGATCCACCTCGAGCGCTGCCGGGGCAAAGCGAAATTTTTTGGTGCCAGGCCCTTTTTTGGGTCTTTTTACTGTATTTTTGGGACTGTTTATTTCAGTTTTTAAGAATTATTAATAAAATTTAGAGGTCTTGGGGGGGGGGGGAAATGCCTCTCTGCCCCTCCCTTGGCTACGCTAATGTTCAATTTTGAACATTGCTCTACACAGGGTTTATGAGGATAGGCTATCCTGTAGTAGTAGCTTGTATTATCCTTGGTCTTGTTGTGCTTCAGCACAAAAAGACCTACTTCTAGGCCTAAGGAAATAAATAATTATTAATTATTATACTAGTATAATGAAGATTCCATTGATTCACGACATTTGATCGCCGATCTGATGCTTGAACTCATCGTTTTCAAAAGTCAACATAGGTACAGTCGTGAGCACAAAAAGTGGGACGCCCGTTTTTTTCTATTGTTTCATCCAGATACCTACGGCAATGACAGGGATTGTCATATTTGACATAAAATCCATTGTAGAGAAAAGAATTTACGCAAACTAGCAAAAAATGACAAGACCTGTCAGTCGGGTGTCCCACTTTTAGAGTTCAGAAAATAGCTCCAAGAGCAAAAAGATGAAAACTTTGACAAAATGTGTTTATAAAATCAAATTGAAGTCACGTGTGAAAAAATCTCTCGCATCTGCCATGTCATTTCCGAACTCGCCAATAATTATTAAAATTAAAATTTGAATCAAATTTTCAGGTCTCTGGAAATCGATTTTAACAATTATTTTTCACATGAATTCTAACCGATAATTCTAGGTCTGCTTCTGCAGAAATCACAAACCAGTTAGAGCAAATTTCATTGGTTGAAAACAGTCAGAAAACTAGTTTAAACTAATGAAATTCACTCTGACTGGTTTGTGATTTTTGCAGAAAGAGACCTTTTATCGTATCGGTCGAAAATCTCGATGGTCAATCTCAACTCTAATGTCCAATATCGATTTAGGTCGACTTGCACAGTGCCCCTATCACACTAAAATAGAATTCTATCTCAGTTACGTCATATTCCCTCAAGGATGATACACACCTACAGGATTGCTTATCGGCCTCGTTTTTGGTAATCGCCGCCATATGTGTCACCATTTCCGACGTCATAACTAAGTCGTCAGCTGTTTAAACAGCCTACGTCAAGGCGAGAAATAACATGCTGGTACGTCACAACTGGTGATTTGCGAGGGGCGGGAGGAAAGTGGCAGATTTGTTCCACACAGGCCTTATGAGTATAGGCTATCCTGTAGTAGTAGTGTGTATCATCTTTGATATTCCCTAGCAATCGATCTCAATGCAATTAATCGACAGTGTATTTTCCTTAGAGCAGGTAAAGGTAAAGGAGTAGTAACTGGAAAATGGAGCCTTTTTCTCCAGGTATTTTGGCCCCAAAAAATGGCGGTATAGGCAATTCAATGCTTCACCTGTATTTTGGTGCCAAAAACTTGGCTTCACTTTAGTTTCATAAGCAGAATGGCGCGTTCGTAGCGCGTTCCTACTCCTTATGTCCTTAAGACAGCGCTTTACCTGCTGTCATTTAAATAGAATGCTGGTGTCACATGACGTCACTCAAATGGAATTTCATTGTTTGTAATCCCAATAAATAAATAAAATTCTTTATTACGTCACAATCTGGCATGTTAAAATGACGTCCCTCTAATAGAATTCTATTCAATTTAGCCGATACCTACTTGATCGAAATTTAATACAATTTTTTTTACAGGGAAGAAGAAAAAAACGTTAATTATTTAAATCAGTAACAGTAACAGACGAAATAACCATAGAATAAGGAAATAACTGATATCGACAAAAATAGAAGCGATTCTGCAAAATAAAAATTCCCGAGCAAAATGTGTTGCACCCTTAGAGCAGGTTGCACCAGTCAGTGAGTGGTATTAGTTGCACCAGCACCAGCTTGCGCCCACTCTTGCAAATAATTTTTGTTCCAAGATCCGTGTTTTCGAACACGCCCCTGTCTGTTCCTGTGTGACACACCTGTCAACTTTTTTGGGCGGACAATTTAAAATGTTGTTTTCTTTTGCAGAACTTGCAGGTTTTTGTTGAAAACTGAACATAAATTAGTTTTATTTCTGTGTAATTTGAAAATTGAACTCACTGTATTTTGGATTCAAATTATTTCCTGTACATTAGATTTTCTTTAAAACTACTACTCTAGTTTTTATCTTGAATTCATGTTTATTTGTCTTAAAAGAAGATAAAAATACTCTCAAACTGTTAAATGAATGTTCAACAATTTTAAAACAAAGAACATCTGACTTTGGTAGTGACAGCTGACAGCCAGCACACAGGCCACAGGGCCACCATCCATCGTCAGCTGTTAGCAACGAATTTGGTCTGGGGTGCCCGAGTGTGGTGGTTGTGGTTGTTCATTGGTTGGTAAAATGGCTGCGGGTTGTTGTGGTACCAAAAAACAGAAGCTGAACAATTCGTCGACGGTTCCAACGTGCAACGGTACCATGCCAGCCCCAACCAATGGACTGATCAGCTGCAGCAACGGCACAGCAGGAATGGTGGCCTTGCCAGAAATGTGTTTCTTTTGTTTCGATGTACTTTATTGCCATTTGTACAATTTGGCGCCACCCAAGACGCCTAGTTTCAGTAATGATGCATAGTGAGTATTTCGATATTGAATTTTAAGATTTCCTAGTTTTCAGCAAAATTTATTTAAAGTTCATACAGAAACAATGACATCTGGCTGAAAAGGTCATTCAACTACCTATTTACTTTGTTTAATATTGCTATCAGAAATGAAATGCCTTTGTTCTTTTGTGTTTGTCGAGTTTATTCATTTATTCCTGCATCAGAGATGTTTATTGCTAATTTATCATTATTTTTAATTGCTCAATGTTTTCCTTTGAATTATGGAATAGTTTCATTTATTTAAACAAATAAAAATCAAAGAGTAGATAAGTAGCAATCATAGTTTAAAAATACATTGCTTTAAGTACTGCTTTCATTAATTTGACTTGGAATATGTATTTCAAATGGACATCAAGGCTGTTTTTAAATTTAATAGGCCACTAGGCCAGTCTCATTTTGTCATTGATGTACCTACCCACTATACTTATTACTTGTTTATCCTACTAATTAATCCTTGATCATTTTAATATGATGTTACTGTGGGCGAAAAATAATACATTATTATGTAATCTATTGGATTTGTTTCAAAAATTATACTGCATATTATTACTTCAACTTTCTAGTGTAAATAATAATTTAAATTTTTGGTTATTATTACTTTCAATTTTTTTTACATCTGATTGGTTGTCAAAGCCAGCTGTTTGGAAATGATTGCTGAAACTAGGTGATTTCGAAAAGCATCACCTTAAGTACTCCAAAGGATGCTACATAAAGAGTAGCAAAAGGAAGGAATTTGAAAAATTAGAATCCTTTTAAAATGGGATGCATATGGCTATGTAGCACTTTCAAAAAAGCTTGTCTATATGCCAAAGTGTACATTTTTTGACGTCAGCACATTCTAAATGGGAAAGATCAAGTACCTACTAGTAGAGTTCAACCACAACTGAACCTCTATTTGATTTAGTACAACCAGGCCTTAGAATTAATTCATAATTGAAAAATCCAAGTAGGAGCTACAAAAAACCGAGCTAAAAACCCAATTTTACTGCATTATGTGTCAAATTTTACTCTTTTACAGTGTTTTTTTTTTTCAGTACAAGCTCTTGAACTTATATGAATTTTGATTTCAAACTCTCGATTTTTTTGTATTTGGTTGTCTCAGGTCGCTGGACTTTAAATTTTTATTCCTGGCTCTCCTTACTTTTCTCTGGTTTTTTCAAGAGTGCATTTTCTGTATACTTTTGTCTAAAAAACTCCCAAATTGTCTCGAAAAATCCCCTCTACAAAATACTGCAAAATTTCAAAATGAAAATCTTTTAACTCTCCTCCTGGGGCCTGCCAGACGTAAGTAATCCTATTATAGAAAAATATGCCTCACGAAAAATCAAAATTATGCTCTCATGGCAATTTGAGTGCCCCAACAACCCCAGAATTTAAAGCGATTGGTCCTACTTGATTTATTCAGCGCCTAAGTCAGCTGGAAAAACTTTAGTAGCAGCAATTCTTGCTTTAAACACCATATTTGAAAGAAATAAGAAGGTAATCTTTATTCTTCCATTCATTGTCAGAGAAAAAATGTATTATTTTCAACTTTATTGAGCAGCTGCGGCATAAGGACCGACAGTTTCATGGGTTGTTAAAAAATTCACCTGGCGGTTTCGCAACTCTACGATTTGCCATATGCATGCACTATTAAAAAAGTAAACAATTTAATAAACAGACTACAGAAGTTGGATGGTGTATTGGTTGATGAAATGTATTTATTAGGAGATACTCATAGAGGTTACATCTTGGAGCTTCTTTTGACTAAACTGAGATATATTGCTTTAAAAGATGAAAATACAAATATTTGGAATGTCAGCTACTTTGCCTAATTTAGATCAACTAGCCAAATGGTTAGGGGCCCAGTTATATTTTACAGATTTCAGGCCAGTGACATTGTTTGAACAAGCTAGCGTTGGTGGAGATATTTAAGTATGATAAGAATTTCCAATTTATGAAAAAACTGGAACCCCTACCTGAAATTGATGCAGACACAGACCATATTTTACAGTTGTGTTTGGAAACAATTAAAGATTCTTGTTCGGTGCTGATATTCTGTCCAACAAAAAATTGGTGTAAAAACTTAGCTCAGCAACAGGGTTTGGAAAATTGGCAACTCTCAACCTATGTTGGGTGAAGTTTCAAGATACCAAATAAAAACAAATTTGATTTTGGAGATGTTTGAACAATTAAAACTATGCCCTGTAGGTTTGGACGAAGTTCCTGAAAAACTGTTTCATTAGGAATTGTATTTCATCATGCAGGATTAACAATGGATGAAAGGGATATTATTGAACGAGCTATTAGAATCCTTATAGAAAAATCCACATTGTCATCTGATGTTAATTTACAAGCATGTAGAGTTCATATTTTTGTGGAAAACCCATTGATTTGTTAACTTATCAGTATATGATTGGAAGGGCTGGCAGGATGGGCAAAGATACAAAGAGAGAAAATATTTTAGTTTGTCAAAAAAACGATTGTACTCTAGCAAGAGAAAGTTGTCTGGAAGATGGTGAACTTAAAAGAGCAATTTTGCTAGCAGTGTAACATCATCATATGACGATGTTGCACTATTTGCCAGCTGCACATTATTAGCAGTCACTGACGAGGAAAATAAATTTGTAAATTTACTCATGCAAGTTCTTGAATATGGAGGAATATAAATTTATAAGATCAGATAATAAAAGATAGATTACAACTTCTTTGGGTAAAGCTTGTTTGTCATCTTCCATAGCTCCAGATAAAGATTTAGCTTTGTTCACTGAACTTGAAAAAGTTAGACAATGTTTTGTACTTGACACTGAACTCCATTTAATTCATTTAGTTACCTCTTACAGTGCTTGTTATTCATGGGGCAACATTGACTGGATGTTTTATATGGATTTATGGGATAAATTGTCTATATCCATGAAAAGAGTGGCCAACTAAACTACGCATCAATCGAAGTTGAACACCGAACACCCCAATTTTTCGTCATTTTTTGTAAGACTATAACTCAAAATCTAGCAGGCCGATTTTGTTTAAATTTTCAGGAATGAAAGGCTGCTCTAATTGCTATTTAATTTCCAGTTGTTAACAGATTTCCGTCTACCTGCTAAAAGATACAGGCTGAAACATAAGTTGGCGATTTTTTGCGAAAGTTTGGGTTCACCCCATTCTGCTGGAGAGAGGGTTGGGTTTATTTTTGGTATTCAGTTTAGAAAAGTGCCTTAGTACCTCGGAACGTTTTTGAGATTTTTTGAATATCGCAGCCCACTAGGATCATAAGTTATGCGATTTTATGTAAAATATAGCTTTTGACATCATTATTTCTTTTCGGAACAAAAACTACAATTATGGCGCATGTGGAAACACACTTAGAACATATTATTATACAGGGTCATACAAAAATAGACAGTGTATCTATTTTTCTAACCATAGGGATAGATCTCGGTTATTATAAAAGATACGAGGTCGGTTCAATTAGGGCAAAGTCGCGCAATTTTATATCCAATTAAATGGCTATTTAGCACTGGCACCGCTGCTTATAGACATTGTAGGTAGTGAATCAAGAATTACTTCGGCCCGGGATGCCAACAGAATCCTTTTAACAGTGCGACGAAAAAGAACTATTAATTCTTTGTAAATAAAAATAGCGGTAGGAGTTGAGCTTCAAAAGCAACAATTTAAAGACGTCTCTATGAGAGAAATTTAGGAGCCAGAATCACTCTTCGACATTCTATTACAATTTAAGTGAAACAATACCTTGAAGTGTGAGAAAATTGAAAAAATCCTATTTTTTTGACATTTTATGTGGGTATCTCCCTTATCAGAGGGGTAGGGGGGTTAAATCTAGGCTCATTTGACGTCTTTTCAATCACTCTTCGATATTCTATTACAATTTAAGTGAAACAATACCTTGAAGTGTGAGAAAATTGAAAAAATCCTATTTTTTGACATTTTATTTGGGTATCTTCCTTATCAGAGGGGAAGGGGGGTTAAATCTAGGTTTATTTGACGTCTTTTCAATCACTCTTCGATATTCTATCACAATTTAAGTGAAACAATACCTTGAAGTTTGAAAAAATTGAAAAAAATCCTATATTTTTGACATTTTATTTGGGTATCTCACTTATCAGAGGGGAAGGGGGGTTAAATCTAGGTTTATTTGACGTCTTTTCAATCACTCTTCGATATTCTATTACAATTTAAGTGAAACAATACCTTGAAGTGTGAGAAAATTGAAAAAATCCTATTTTTTTGACATTTTATTTGGGTATCTTCCTTATCAGAGGGGGAGGGGGGTTAAATCTAGGTTTATTTGACGTCTTTTCAATCACTCTTCGATATTCTATTACAATTTAAGTGAAACAATACCTTGAAGTGTGAGAAAATTGAAAAAATCCTATTTTTTTGACATTTTATGTGGGTATCTCCCTTATCAGAGGGGTAGGGGGGTTAAATCTAGGTTTATTTGACGTCTTTTCAATCACTCTTCGATATTCTATTACAATTTAAGTGAAACAATACCTTGAAGTTTGAGAAAATTGAAAAAAATCCTATATTTTTGACATTTTATTTGGGTATCTCACTTATCAGAGGGGAAGGGGGGTTGAATCTAGGTTTATTTGACGTCTTTTCAATCACTCTTCGATATTCTATTACAATTTAAGTGAAACAATACCTTGAAGTGTGAGAAAATTGAAAAAATCCTATTTTTTTGACATTTTATGTGGGTATCTCCCTTATCAGAGGGGTAGGGGGGTTAAATCTAGGTTCATTTGACGTCTTTTTAATCACTCTTCGACATTCTATTACAATTTAAGTGAAACAATACCTTGAAGTTTGAGAAAATTGAAAAAATCCTATTTTTTTGAAATTTTATGTGGGTATTTCTCTTATCAGAGGGGTAGGGGGGTTAAATCTAGGTTCATTTGACGTCTTTTTAATCACTCTTCGACATTCTATTACAATTTAAGTGAAACAATACCTTGAAGTGTGAGAAAA